GAAAGGAGAATGGAGGAGAAAGGACCGTGGTCATCATGGTTATCCCCCGGTAGTAGGTGCTTTCTCATCACTCCTAACATTTCTGTCATTTCTTGGGTATCACTCCAACGATCTCAGATCTTGGCTGAGCAACTCTTTGGGCCCTGTTCTGATTTTTTTTGGAACCAGTAAGCCATTTCTAACCTGGGGGTCCTGTGACTCCTAGCATAAGACTTTCTTTCTCTGGCCTCTGAGATACCAAGTGCACATGTCTGATAGCAAATTAAAAGCAGACATTTTTTGGGGGGCCAGCAGGTGGCATGGTGGTTAAGGTGCTGGACACTCCCATATGGCTCACCATGGTTCAAGTCCTGGACCTAGTGGCTTTTTTTTTTCCCTTTTTTTTTGTGCCATTAAAATAAACGCATGAATAAATAAAATTAAAATAAATAATTAAAAAAAAAAAAGAAATTTGGGACCAACAGTTAGCATAATGGCTATGTTGCTGAACTCCCATGTAGTAGACCGCGGTTCACGTCCTGGACCTTAAAAAAACCTCACGCCGGGCTTGTGTGTGTGCATGCCCAGGATCCCAAGAGGAGAACGGAGGAGAAGGGATTATGGCCATCCCCCGGGGCGTGATTTCTTGCTTTCTGTCTCTCTGTCGAGCACATGTGCCCCATAGCAAAAACCTCCCCCCAAAAAGTCTAAAAAAAAAAAAGACAATACTTTTGTACAGCTATACAATGTGCTCGTGTTTTAAGCTAAGTGTTATGACTAGAGTCAAAAAGTTTAAAAAACTTAAGGACAGGGAACCAGCAGTTAGCATAATGGCTATGTCGCTGGACTCCCACGTAGTCGACCGCAGTTCGCGTCCCGGACCCGGTGGCTTAAAACTCACGCCGGGCGTGTGTGCGTGCGTGCCCAAGATCCCAAGAGGAGAATGGAGGAGAAGGGATTGTGGCATGACCTTCCCCCCTGGGGGGTGATTTCTCGCTTTCTGTCTCTATGTCTCTCTCTGTTTGTCTGGCGAGCGCACGCGCCCTACAGTGAAAATCTCTCCAAAAAAAAAAAAACTTTAAGGACAAAAGTTATTTATAAAGTAAAAAAGTAAGCTTAAGTTATCTTACCTATTGAAAAAAGTATTTTTTAAAAATAATTATTTTATTAAACTTTATTTATTATTATTGTTACTTTCCAGTTTGATCAGACAGAGAGAGGGAAAGTGAGAAAGCAAGCCACCAGATTCAGGACTTGAACCATAGTCAGCCATGTGGGAGTCTAGCACCTTTAACTACCACGCCACCTGCCGGCCCCGAAAAAAGTTTTCTTTTATAAATATAGCATACCCTACGTGAAAAGTGTTTATAAAGTATACAGTAGTGTCCTAGGCTTTCACATGCACTCACCACTCATTTATTGATTCATCTTGGAGAAGTTATAGTCTTGTAAGGTCCATTCATGGTTAAGTAATCCATTTAAGGATACCATTTTTTATCTTTTATACCTTATTTTTACTGTGCTCTTTACATGTGTTTATATATAATTATATATACAAGTACCATTATGTTACAATTGCCTAGAATATTCAGGACAGTATCATGCTGTTCAGGTTTGTAGCCTAGAAACAACAGGCTATACCATATAGTGTAGGTATGTGGTAGGCCTTTCTATGTATGTTTGTCTAAGTATACCCCATGAAAGTCACATCATGAAATTGCCTAAAGATACATTTCTCAGAAAATATCCACATCATGAAGTAACACATGACTATATTTGAAAATCACGATCACAAATTACCAAATAAGTGCATATACCAACTGCAAGAGATACTCAACATCCACTCAAATACTGTGAGTAAATACTGTATTCTTGCTTTATGTGGAATAAGTGTCTTAGAATGGACATTAAGCTTGTTTGGGTAAGAGGAAACATGGAAGAGTTACTATGAAGTACTAAAGAAAGTAGATGAGGTGGTCTTGGGGTACTTCAGAATGTGTCCCTCCTGTCTTTGTCAGTATTTGTGTTCTAAGTCCAGAAAGCAGATTTGTTTTACCATGTAACATTTCTTATTAAATTTTCTGAGAAACAGTCTATTTCTGCTAAGAACTGAGACTTATCGAAGATTTTTTTTTTTTCTTAAGCAAATTCACATTTGCTACCAGAATGGTGGCTGTAGTGATGGTATATGTGCAAGTATAGAATGTGGGCACCTGAATCCTGAGATAAAGGTTTAAGATTTCATTATCTTGAGACCAGCAGATGGTGTACTGGTTGTGCTGCTGGACTCCCACATGGCCTACTGTGGTTCAAGTCCCAGACCTAGTGGCTTCAAACTCACACTGGGCGTGTGTATAGTGTGCTTGTGTGCCCAAAATCCAGGAGGAATAGAGAAAGGATTGTGATGTGGCCATCCCCCCTGGGGGAGTGATTTCTCGCTTTCTGTCTCTGGTGAGTGCATGTGCCCTATAGCAAAACTCCCTCTTAAAAAATAAGAATTTATGATCTTACCTCTTTGCTGGGAAGTGATTATCATTTCACTTTAAGTACAGTGAAGTGTCTACAAGAGGACTGGAAATTATCTCTGGAGACAGTTATGGAGTAACTTACAGAGTTATTACTACTGATTTATGAACTATCCAATAAAAATGACATAAAATTTAAAAAAGTGTCTGTAAATCCCAAGAACAGATGAGTTTTAATGGGTGTTAGTAGAGAACAGAGTTTAAGCCACCGGGTCCAGGACTCGAACTGCGGTTGAGTAGGTGGGAGTCCAGCGACATAGCCATTATGCCAACTGCTGGTCCCAGTGGCTTAAAATTTTTTTAAAGAATTACTTTGTTAATTTTTTGTTATTATTTTTCATTTCAACCAGACCAAGACAGAGAAAGGGAAAGTGAGAAAGCAAGCCACCAGGTCTGGGATTCATGACCACAGTCAGCCATGTGGGAGTCCAGCACCTTAACCACGATGCCATGTGCTGGCCTGGTGGCTTAAAATTTTATCATAGTTCTAAACGGTTGAATTCCATGGTCAAAACACCAGTATGGTCAGGATCTAGTGAGGATTCTATCCCTGACTTGCAGAAGGCCATCTTGTTGTTATATGATCTTTCATTTGCATGAGGCCTCTAATATCTCTTGCTCTTTTTTTTTTTTTTTTGCTAAAAGGTACATGTGCTTGCCAGAGACAGAGAAATCACACACAGCTCCCCCGCCCCCACCTACCCTATGCAGAATGGTCATGCTACAATCCCTTCTTTATGTCTCTCCTTTTGGGATTTTGGGCACACATATCCAGCATTTCTCAAGCCACTAAGTCTAAGACTGGAACCATGCTGTTGACCATGTGGGATCTAGCTGCCTTAACTACCATGCCACAGAGCCAATCCCTTACTCTTCTTAGGACACCAGTCATATTCACTTCAGGATGACCTCATGCAACTTCAGTTATCTTCTCAAAGGCCCAATCTATAGAGTCACAATGGGAGTTAGGAATTGAACATATGAATTTGTAGGGACATATTTTAATTCAGCCCAAAATAACCCTACCTGTGTTATTAAGAGACTTTATCCCTGTGACCATTCTGGTGTTTTAGGAGATTGAAATTGAAGGTAAAAGACTTACCACATTCAGTACACTCACAGGGCCTCTCCCCACTGTGAACTCTCCAGTGATCACTGAGGTTAGCGTTCTGACTAGAAGATTTTCCATATTCACTACACTCAAAAGGCCTTTCTCCAGTGAGAACTTTTTGGAGTGGTGGCTAAAGAATTTCTGAAAGGTCTTTCTGTCATGTGACTTCTTTGATGTCTAACGAGGCTAGAGCTCTGGCTAAAGGATTTTCCACATTCACTGCACTCATAAGGCTTTTCTCCAGTGTGAACTCTGGTGTTGAAAGAGTGTTGATATGGATAAATGATTTCCCACATTCCCCACACTCATAAGGTCTTGTTCTAGTGTGAATTTTCCAGTGTGTAAATGAAGTAGGATTCACAACTAAAGGAGTTCCACATTCACTGCACTTGTTAAGGCTTATCTCCAGTGTGAACTCTGATGTATAATGAGGTCAAACTTCCTGATGTTAGAAGAGATGGGAGTGACAGGTGAATAATTTCCCACATTCATTGCACTCATAAGGTTCTTTTCTAGTGTGAAGTCTCTGGTGTTCAGGTGACAGCTCTGGCTAAAGGATTTTCCTCATTCACTGCATATATAAGGTCTTGTTCCAGTATGAATTCTCTGGTGTGTAATAAATCTAGAGCTATTGTTAAAGGATTTTCCACATTTGCTATACTCATAAGGCTTTTCACCTGTGTGAACTCTCTGATGTATGATAATGTCATATTTCCTGCTAAATAATTTTCCACACTGATCACATTGATATGGTCTTACTCCAGTATGAACTCTTTAGTGTGTAACGAGGCTAGAGCTTTGCCAATAGGATTTCCCACATTCCTCACATATATAAGGCTTTTCTGAACTGTGAACTTTTGAATGATCCCTGAGGCAATACATTGCTCTAAAGGATTTCCCACATTCATTATATATGTCGCACCTTTCTCTACTAATGACTCTTTGATGCTGAACAAGTACATGCTTGTAATTGAAAACTTTCATGCATTCTCCCCAGCTATAATGACTTTTAACCCTGTAAAAGGCCACTGCATTCTCCGTTCTGTTGTTTGACTTCTCCCTTGAGTGGCCTATTGCTGAGGAAATCTCAAACTGACCAGATAGTCCTCCCCAACCTCCCTGAAGATAAAAGGGATTCATGGATACTTGGAATGTGTAGCCATTCTGAAACGAGTCTTTGCCCACATCGCTTCTGCAGTGTTTATCTCCAGTGTGCAGTATGCAGTGAATTTTAATAGCTTCCCATATGCTCCATCTATGTATGGTTTCTGCCTATGATATAGTCCCTGGTGCTCAACAAAATACAAAATGTCTCTCAGGACAGGACCACATATATCACAGGAGTGGGCCTTCTGGGGAAGAGGACTAGCCTTAGAAGTCCTAACCTGAGACACGTCCTGCACAAGAAAGCTCCACTGAGTGGGTGACTCCTTGTCTTCTGCTCCACACCAACAACCTGAAAGGAAGGAAAAACTAGTGAAGTGCATGTTGATGTTAGTGAGAGGAAAGAATTGAATCTATGGGATTCTTTTCAGGACCAAGGAATTGAGTTCATTGTGAAGATAGGACTACCTAGCAAAACTTGGATAGAAGTTGTCTCATGAGTTAAAGATAAAACTATGGGCCAAGCCTGTAATCTCAGCTACTTGGGAGGCTGAAGCAGGAGAAAGGCAACACAGCGAGACTCTGTCCTTTAAAAAAAAAAAAAAAAAAAAGATACACAACCATGTGTTGCAATACAGGGAGAAGACAAAGGGTTTACGACTTATTCCTCTAGAACAGCATTCAGTGGGACCTTGTCTCCTGCTGCTATGTGTGCATTATGTATGTACAAGGATATAACCAGGCCCAAGAAAATGTGACAGTCAAAAAGCAGCTATGGGGGCCAGCAGGTTGTGTGCTGATTAAAGCACTAGATTTCCACATGGCCAACTGTGGTTTGAGTACCGGACCTGGTGGCTTGAAAATCATGTTGTGTGTGTGTGTGTGCGTGCGCACCCAAAATCCTGAGGAGAATGGAGGGTGAAGGGACTGCAGTGCGGCTATCTCCCCTGGAGGGTAATTCCTCACTTTCCCAGCAAGTGCCACACATCCTACGGCAAAAACTTTAACAACAAAAAAAGCAGCTGGGTGTTTAAGAATATGTGCATAACTCATGACACACTACATAGAAGACAGTGTTGACGAACACTATAGATGGAGCAGTAAGGAAAAGAAGGAAGACATGAAGGTGAACCCTGGGTTGGATGTAAGTAAAAGTGACAAACAGTAGTACTGAAAAGTTGGCAAAGTGTCCCAAATTGGGAAGGAAAGGCAGTAATGAGGTTCAGTCATAAAAGCACTAAAATATTAGTCAAGCAATACAGGTTTCTGTATGATTTGAACACAGTCCTGATTTAACATCTTCTTGCAGTGTCACTTCCTCAAGGCCAGGCTCTCTCTAAGCTCATCTTGCTATGGCTGAAATCATATACATCCTGTGAACCACCAAGTGCTGTCCACCACAGTTACCTATGATAGTGGACAACTTCCTAATACCCAAAATATACAAACACCTATGACTAACCCAGAATGACCCAGTACACGAGAGCCCACAAGAAAACAAATTTTTAAAAATGATTACGAAGAGAACTTAAGAGGACTGTTTTGTGAGAGCAGCCCATGATCTACAAAAGCAGTGTCCAAGTCAGTGAAGGCAATTCTTGGTACAGCTGGGCAGAAGGATATCTCAACAAGAGGAAGGAAGCAGAATTTGAAGCACTTAGGTGCCTTATATCTGGACAAAGTCATTTGGTCAGAGAGAGGCAAACAAGGCTAGATTTCATATTGGTGACTACAAGACACATGACCCTGAATCCTTCCTTGTGATATTGCAGGGAAGCAGATGTTCTCTGCTCGAGGAGAAAGGGGGCAATGTACAACCTCAGCCTTACCAACCACAGCACCAACCCAGGAACTGGGGTAAGAAATTGTGGGCATAGTCTTGATTTAAGACAGACCGACCTGTCCCCGGAGAAAGGGGAAGGGATGAGACTTGTTCAGGGCACAGGCATGAGTGTGAGGTCCTTACCCAGGGAGGTTACAAGTGCCAAGTTCTCTTGCATCACATTGTGGTACAAGTGTTTCTGAGCCTCATTCAGAAGACCCCACTCCTCCCAGGAGAAGAACATGGCCACGTCTTCAAAGGTCACAGTGCCCTGTCAGAATAAGGATGGATGAAACTATAACAGGTCTTCCCCTGAAGACCCACAATCTACACACCTACCCCACACCCATCTTTCTAACAAGTCTCTAACTCACAGAAAAAAAACAGATAACTGGCAATTTATTTTTTTTCCACATAGGCCAGGAATCAGTATTTCTGGCTGTAGCCTTCAGCAACAAGAGGGAGATGAACAAATGTACACCTAAGCTGTGGGCCTAGCACAGAATTATCTACTCCTCCCCCTACAAAGCAATTCCTGTGGTATCACTAAGGTCATGTAAATCTCAATGCTAGGGCCTTGAGGCCATCAGGCATACTCTCTCTCCAAGTGCCCATCTTTCTTCAGACTGTATAACCCTCAGGTCTCCAGATCCCACAGCCATGAAACCATGGCTAACACCACCCACTACCCTACATAAGTATCTTCTCATCTCCTCAAATGTTACTTGGTTTAAGACAGTAGACAACCTATAGTTATGATGGTCACACACGTAACACCTGACACAGGACTGACACCTTTGACAGCAGTTTATCATTCAGATATCCTCATAGCCTAGGAAGGAATACCATACTCCACATGGGGCTGCTCCAGAAGAGGGAACAATGAGGGGCTGTGGAGTGTACCTTTTGTATTAAGAGAAGTGCCCCCTGATTCTCACAGGAGAATGGGATTGGCTTGCTTGAATAACTTAAAAGAATAGTAAGGAACTGAAACCCACTACAAAGTGATAAGCAAGAACTGATTACTTGGTAAGAAGGGTTTATCTTTGAGAGCTCATAGAATGGAGATGAAAATTTGCACTCAGACCTTTTAAGGCATACTATTTTCACAAGGTATCAAGGCAACACTTAATACTGGCCCTTAATTTTTGGCCTTATAGCACAATTTGGGAGCACAACATTCAGAATATGCTTGTCAAATCCAAACAGGAGCTAATATTATCCCAGCATTCCTATGGTTTCCACTAGTGGTGGCAGCCCTTAAACCTATGAAGGCATCCCTGTCATGTTCCATTCCTCGCCTCAGACTTAACCTACATGGAAATCATATATACATTTCAGATACCCATGGTCCTATTCTTCTCTATCTTGCACTTGCCATCCCCTCAGCTGTTACAACCTTCTCTCTTTAGTCACAATTTTGGTCCATGACCCCTCACCTGGACTAGGCTAGTAGCCTCCACCATTGTTTTCCACACTGCAGACCGATGGAGCGGGCTTATAACCTTGGTAACATCAACTCTGCTCTGATCCAGACTTCCAGAACAGACATCTAACTTTGCAGTCCTGACTCCTATTCTTTTTTTTGGATTGTTGTTGCCACCAAAAAACAAGGAGCTCTGTAGTTTTAGTTTTCTAAACATTCCCAGCTCAGCTTTTCCATTGCCTGTTTGCTCACTTTTCTAGCATAACATTCTATACCTGTTTAAAATGGGCGCCCGAAATGGGACTGCCTTTATATAAATGCTGACATAGACTTAGGATCCTGGATTTGGGGTTTCGCCAGGGTCCCCAGCACCAAAGACTGGGGGAACAGCACTTCAGAGTCCCAGGACAGCACCATTCTGAGACCATCTGGCTGGACTCGAGGTCACGAGGGGGTAGAAAACCCTACACCTCTTCTGCAGGTTTTATTAACCTATCTGAAGTCACGGGAAAAGTGCTGGATTTTATGGTGACACACCCTGGACCTGCGCGCCGGATGACCTCGGCCTGGCTTTTTAATCTCGCTGCCTCCTTCTTCCAGTCGCGTCTCATCAGTTGTTCCCGCCCGTCACACTCTACCCTGCCCAACAGAAATGGGAAGCCCAACCACGAGTGCCTCTCGGTCCTGACACTAGGCCTGGGCTGCGGGCCCCGAACAGACACCCTTCCGGAGCTTTATGACGTGCTGGGCTGAGGCGGGCGAGGCCCGGAGGACGCGGCACTGACCTGCGCCGGCCCCTGCAGCGCGGCCGCCGCCATCCCGCGCTGTGGGCCGAGCAGGGCGCGAGCGGCGGGCCCTGTCCCGGGCCTGGGCGGGTCACCCTGGAGGCGTCGTCGGGCCTCGGACCCTCGTCTGTGCCGCGAAACGACAGCTCCACTCGCTCCTCTCATCTCGTTCCTCGGTCAGACCCAGCACTCGCACTTTCTGCTCGGGGCTGAGAAAAGCCAAAATGCCCGCCAGGAAGAGAACGCCGGAAGTCCCGCCCCGGAAGGACGCCCGCTGAGGGACCCGTTTCCGGAGGCCTCACGGCCGTCGGCTTGCCGACCCTCGCAGAGCCTGCTGGGTACTGTAGTCCCCACGACGCGCGGCCCGGACGGGCTCGGCCGACCTGCGCTGGGGCTGGGCCGCGCTGCCCGCCGAGGCTGCCGGAAATGTCGCCGACTCCGGGGCGGAGTCCTCTGATTTCTGCGGGCTGGCGTCAGCAGCTGTTCACGCAAGTGTTTGGCGACGTCATTTCAGATGTTCCCGGAGGCTACAGATTCAAACGCACGTACCGTTACATAGCTGTGCAGTGACAGGCGTCCACTGGTTTAGAAAGCAAATAAAAATTACTGTGCTGCGATTCAAAGGATTCTCTATGTCCAGTCAGGGAAGAGGAAAAAATACTCCAGATAGTAGCATAACAAGTAGAATGGAGGTAGGATGTTGAGGCACCCAGTACCAGGAGTACAAAGATGGATTTTCTTTCTTCCTTTTTTTTTTTTTTTTTAAAGAATTATTTAACTGTATTATTTTAAAATTTGACAGTGAGAGAGAGAGTAAGGGAAAGGGAGAAAGCAAGCCTCCAGATCGAGGACCCAGGCCGCGGTCGCCCATGTGGGAGTCCATCACCTCATCCACTCAGCCACCTGCTGGCCCCAATAATTTTTATTTGCTTTCTAAACCAATGGACACATGTCATTGCACAGCTGTATAACGGCATGTGCGTTTGAATCTGTAGCCCCGAGGCTTCTAGCCTAAAGAAAAAAAAAAGACTTGGGTCCCATTTATCAGCTGATGGACATTTGCGTTGTTTCCATCTTTTGGCTCTCATAAATAATACTGCTATGAACATTCACTTGAATGGTTTTGTGCTTGCATTTTTTTTTTAGTTCTCTTGGAGGTTTATCTAGGAGTGGAATTGTTGGGTTATACAGTAACTGTATGTTTAACTTTTTGAGGAATTGTCAGACCATTTTCCAGAGCAACTACATCATTTAGACTAAATCTAGCCTCTTCTGTATTCCCACAGCTCTCTGCAGCTCCCACTTTATGGCACTCACAGCATCTGGCTATGTTATGTAGCTGCTTGCCTGCAGCTCTCTTTCTCTCAACAGAGCTGGAATCTGAGAAGGAAGTCTGTATCTTAATCTGCTGTCATGGTTATTTTGACATCCTCTGTATTCTTATATATAAAAAGGAGGCACACTCCAGGAATTAGTAGATATTTCACTGGGAACATTTTGGTTTAATAAAAGTACTTCCCTAGCATGACCTGGGACTAACCAAAGAAATTGTATTTTTGGTTAGAAGCAAGAAAAGAAAATGTTGACAATTTCACTTCTGTTCTTAACAAAATAAAAATTTTCCCCGTTTTTCAGTGAAATTATATTTATTAATGAGAGTAAAGAAATAAGAATTACAGGACCATCAGATGGCGTAATGGTTGTGTTGCTGGATTCCCATGTAGTCAGCCATGGTTGAGTCCTGGATCTGGTGAGTTAAACTCATGCCAGGCACATGTATGTGCATGCCCAAAATTCCAACAGGAGAATGGAGAAGGGACTGTGGTGTGGCCATCCCCGCTAGGGGGTGATTTCTTGCTTTCTGTTTCTCTCTTATCTCTCTGGAGAGTGCATGTGCCGCATTGCAAAAATTTCTCTTAAAAGAAAAAGAAAGAAATAAGAATTGCTATATTGTAAGAATTTATTTCCTGGTATATACTTTCTGTGTTTCTTTGAAGGGCTTATCTACAAGCTTCTCTAGCAGCAAATCATGTTCTTGCCATCTGTCATCGCTGCAATCTTTGTTCCACACTGGCTCGTACATCTTGCATCTCCCATTTGCTTTACAAATTCTCCATTTTTGCATTGTGCATACCAATCTTTGTTTTATTTTCCTTTCCTGACTTTTTTTCTTCCTTCAATCTCTTCTTTTCAATATTTTCCCTTCTTTTCTGTCTAATAACTAAAACATGTAAATGATGTTATTGAGATACTAATAACTGAGGAATAGAAATGGAAATAAGAAGGGGTGAGGGGAAAGTGTGGAAAAATAAAGGAATGAACAGTATAATTTTTCAGTGATACCTTAACATTCAAATGCATACATCTACACAGAAATGACAATATTATCAAGTGGGTAATAAATGTTATTGTACAAGGATGGTGAAATTTTAATTTAAAAATTGTTTTCCTACTTTATGCATTCAAAGTTTATAAATGCCCAGTTTTAAAAAAATAAAAAGAACGTAGGGACCAGCAGGAGGCATGGTGGTTATGGCATTGGATCCATATGGTTGATCGCACTTCAAGTTCTGGACCCTGGTGGCTTAAAACTCATGCCAGAGGGGTGTGTGTGTGTGTGTGTGTGTGTGTGTGTGTGGCCAAAATCCCAAGAGGGAACTAGAGGAGAAGGGCTTATGGTGTAGCGCCTCCCTCCCACCATGGTGAGGGGGGGTGATTTCTTACTTTATCTCTCTCTGCCTCTCTCTGTGTCTCTGGTGAGCATATATGCCCTATTAAAAAATCTCTTAAAAAAAAAGAAAGTAGAAAAGTTATTATCCAATGTAACAGAAAGACATTGAAAAAAAATTTTTTTTTTACATATTATGACATGGACTGAATTCCTTAAAAAACACCAACAATCTCTCTATTCTTGGCCTTTCAGCTTCCCCTGACAGTCTATGTGTGGAGTTGTCAGAGAAAAACATTCATCAGGAATGATTAGTATGATTGAATCTGACACTGCAGTCTTACAAGTTTTGCTATAGCAGTTTTTTGTTTGTTTTTGTTGTTGTTGTTGTGCCATAGGGCACATGTACTTCCCAGAGAGAGAATACTGTAATCCCTTCTCCATTCTCCTCTCAGGATTGGGCATGCATGTGCATGCAACCAGCATGATTTTTAAACCACCAGGTCCAGAACTCGAACCACGTTCAGCTATGTAGGAATCCAGTGCTTTAAACACCATGCCACCTGCTGACCCTTTCTAAAAGTTTTTAAACAGGTATTCAAGAATATTAGCATGTCTGTAAAACAGAGTTTATATGAACATATGTTGCCCTCATCTTACAAGGATGTGCAGAATACATCTATGATGGGCATCTCTCACACAGAGGCTTTTCACCAGACTAAGCATAGTCACATTTGGGGATGGCGAGCTCTGTATTTTGGGCCTGGATCCCACTTCCACATCAGATTGAAGCAGATGGTGCAGGTGGGACATCTTCCTATCTGTGTTCTAAATCAAGAATGTCGCATTAATAAGTATGTTTAAAGGAAATGTTTTGTGCTGGAAAAAGTTTGTTCCCTTAATTTTGTTTTAGATTCTTGGGATTGCCTTGCTAAAGGAACTAAGAACCACACAACTGTTTTCCTCTCCATATAATTTGACAAGATCTGTTGATGTAGCCACATATTCTTCTTTCTTATCTCAAACTCAATTAAATCCCACTTATCTTTGCCTTTGAGAGCCAAACCATCATTACCAGCTTAGCTTTCTTTCTTGATTTTTAGAACTGACAAGTCGAATGGGTTGATCTTTTACCTGAATGAATGAATGTTTCCAGTTCCTTTTCATTCTCTGGAAGCAAATAAGTAGACTCATCATGGCTTTCATCCTCAGAACCCTCCTCTTCATCTTCTAATAATGGTATCTTGACATTTTTATAAAGCATAGCAAGTTGTTGTCTTTCCTCAGCCTGTGCCAGTCGACTGGAGAATGATATAGGTATATTTAGAAGTATAAGTTTTACGGTGAATTGCCCTGTCTGATTCATGTGACTTTCTAACTGGAAAGGAGTTTTTTGTATTGATATATAGTGGTGAGTAGGGGAGGGAGACAGAAAGACACTTTTAAACCAGACTAATCAAAGTCAGATCTAAAATTTCTGGCCTGACAGTTTTTTGGAGTAAGGAGTAACTCAGATAATTCCAAAGAATGGAACGTATCAAAGCCAGGACTAGGAGTGAATGAGGCACCCACACTGGGTACAAACCTTAAGGGAATGACAAGTAAAACTAAACAAAGCTCCATAACCAAAATAAATCATATTTCAATGCAGTATTTTACAAAGTAAAAATTAATGACAATAAGTCAATGATGAAGACAATATCACCATTTTAGGGTCAGCCAGTGGCATGGTAGTTAAGGCAGATGATGTGCAGAATACATCTATGGTGGGCATCTCTTATCCAAGGACCTTTCACCAGACTAAGCATAGTCATATTTGGGGATAGTGAGCTCTGTTTTATGGGCCTGGATCCCACTTCCACATCAGATTGAAGCAGATGGTGCAGGTGGACCATCTTCCTATCTGTATTCTAAATCAGGAACAGTTACACATCCCACATGGCCAACTGTGTGTTAGGAGTCCTGGACCTTGTGGCTGGAAAAACACAGGTGCATATGCATACATGTTCAAAACCCCAAGAGGAGAATGGTGGGAAAGTGGTCATGTCATAGCCACCCCCCCTGGAGGTGATTTCTCACTGCCTACCCCGTGAGCCCCTGGAGTCTCTGTCTGGTGAGTGCATATACCCTAGAGCAAAAAAAAAATGTTTGGAGAGATTTTTGCTACAGGGCATGCATGCTCACCAGAGAGACAGAGAGAGAGAAAGTGAGAAATCATCCCCTGGGGGATGGCCAAGCCGCAAACCTCTGTCCTCTATTCTCTTCTAGAGAATCTGGGCACATACGCACATGTGTCTGGCATGAGTTTCAAGCTGCTGGGTCTGGCACTTGAACCACAGTTAACCATGTGGGAGTCCAGCACCTTAACCAGCGTACCACCTCCTGGCCCCTAACAAGTTTTTATTTTTATTTTTTTGGAGAGGTTTTTGCTATAGGGCACATACACTTGCCAGGAAGACAGAGAGAGACAGAGAGACAGAAAGCAAGAAATCAGCCCCCAGGGAGGATGACCATGCCATGATCCCTTCTCTATTCACCTCTTGGGATCTTGGGCACGTGTGCACACATGCCTGGCGTGAGTTTAAGCCACCAGGTCCAGGAGTTGAACTGTGGTTGACTACATGGGAGTCCAGCAAGATAGCCGTTATGCCATCTGCTGGTCCCGCAAGGTTTTTTATTTATTTTTTTAAATACATTTTTTTAAGATTTATTTATTTATTATTGTTATTATTATTTTTTACATGAATTTTGCCAAAGACAGAGAGAGAGAGAGAGAGAGAGAGAGAAAA